TCCAAACCAATACTTCCATAAAGAGAAGACTGTGGTGAATCCTAAGTCCAAAGCAGCAAGGTTTGAACGTCCTATCGTGCTGACAAAGTCAATCACCTCTGAAGCGACGATTGTCCATTGCTCTTTCCAGTCCACATCATCTTGCAACATCTCAACAGTGAATGCGCTTAACCAGTGTGGCCTTTATGCCCACACCAGAGAACGTGGAAGAGGTTCCTACAAGAGACAATGGGCGATAGAGATGAATGAAGCTAGAGAGCTCTATTTAAAGACATATGGTGGTGTTGACCGACTGGACCACATGATACAGAACTGCAATCTCTCATACCGGTAAGTTCACTGTCAGCGATTGTGTATTGTTTTGGTTCTGTTATCTCATCGATTCTCCATCTTCGAGAAGGTCTTGGAAGTACTGGCACGCTCCCATGATCCATGCTAAGGCAATGGCTGTTGTTGTTGCGTATGACATGTACCAAGAATGTTGCGAGGGAAACCTGAACGTTGACTGGAAAGTCCAGAAGCCAGTCGACTTTTGGAGATTTCGAGAGAAGCTGGGGAAGCAGATGTGTCAATACAATCCAACCAATCGAAGGTATCCTGGCGACCAGAACTTCCGTGTTGCCACCAAGCAATCCATCTCCAAAAGGAAAACACCACCGCCTGCCTCCAAAACCAAGCGCAAAAGAGTCTCCACTCCTGATTCCACGGCTTCCAATCTCACAGCTCAAGATCTCATTGACAACAAAGGCAGATTGTGTGGCAGACTGGATGGCCTGTGCTCTCATATGGCCACAGTTGAAAGGCTTCCCAACCAGAGAACAAAGAAGTGTGTCGTGTGCGGCGAGAGTTGTTCCCATGTCTGTGGCAAGTGCGGCAAGGCCATGCATTGCACAGAGTTACAGAAGAGGAGGGGGAAGGAGCTTGTTGTTGATGACAGCATTACCTGCTTTGTCCGGTGGCATGACACATCTTTCTTTGGATTGGCCAAGGAGGATTGGGAACTGAGAGGGATCCATAAGAGAGATTGGCGCTTTCCAACCAAGCCATCTCGCGAGAAACATGCAGAGGCAATGGTTGATGTCCACAATGACGCCTTGAAGATATCTCCTAATGCCGCTGCTACCACCCCTGCGCCTACTGCTACCGCTACCCTCAACAACAGGCCTGCCTCGGTCTCTGACAGAACCACAACCAACAACAGCAGCAGCAACGACAATGACAACAGTGACGACGATGAGTTTGCTGAACTTCCAAGGCCTGGCCACCGAATTATGTAGGTTTGTACCAGCTGTTACCGTCGATGATGTAGCCCATTAAGCAACAATCTATAAAACAGCTACGATGTCGCACCATCTGTTTTGGCTATCTTTTCCACTGTTCTATCTTACCAGGTTGCCGATGTCGAATAAATAGTGGGGCCAAAATTAAACGGCAATGGCGTTGCCGGTGCTGGGGGCCAAGACTAAACGACAGATCAAGAAATGAAAGTAGTAGTTGGGTTTAGAGTAGGGGGGTATGTTTTCAGTGGCCGGAGCCAGGAGGCAACCACTGTACTGGTACCATTACGTAAGACTGGGCTAATAGAATGGTCGGCAATGGGGCCTCCGGGTCCCCTGGGGAACCCGGATTTTGCCAATAGCATTTGAGTCGTTCTTAAAAAAATAAAACATTCTCTATCCATTCATGTTATCCATTCATGTACATGACAGTATGATCCGACGGCTATAAGTTAACGTTTTCGTCTATGTAACCATCCGACAGACTTGACGCTTTCCGATCATGCTAGCGTTCCTCCAATCGACTCAAAATATTTTGAGTCCAAGAGCCCGGGACTGCTAGTCACGTTTCGATTTCGACTTTGTTTTCTTCACAAAATCGTTCCACGCTATACCAAAAGAGTCGACCATGAGCGAAGATATCACCACCAACGGGCCCTCTACACCCCCTGTTCAACCCATTAGACTGTTCCGGAGTCCTGTTGTAAACCTCAGTTCGAAGGGGGCGATTGAGCTGGTGAAATTTGAGGAAGATAGCCTGAAAGAATTGACAGAGTATGTTTTTGCATCCATGGAGAAACCTTTTTGCTTTGATGTCATCAACAAGCCTGGTCGGAAGACAAGCTGCACTTGCCTCCACGATCTTGGAGATCAGATCGATGATGATGAGGTTGATGCATGCGCCAAGGCTCTTTTCCTATTCTGCAAGTTGGATTTTGCAGAAAGGAAGAGGATCGTGAAGGAATGGATTCGGTCAGGCCTCGCTGCACAACTCCTGTTCCAAGGGCACCATCGAACAACTTCAACAAGAGTGTTCCTTTTTCCTGGTTCAACCACCCGCTTCATATGCAGGAATGCCCTGTGTCAGCTTATCGGATATGGGCAAAAGTCCTGGAAATCCATCGTCCAGCTTGTGAAATCCGGGAACGATCCAGTGCATGGGCTCTCAGGGAAGACAGGGAACAAGCTTAATGCCAAGACGCAAGGCCTTATGCATGAGTTCTTTACTGACATGAAACAATATGCCCTCCCTCGAGCAACCAAGATTGTCAGGACACAGATGGTGGATGGTGTCAACACGTTGGTTGAATTGCGTGAAGAGGAGAAAGACACCGTGGAATTGCCGTCGTCGATGACCAAGAGAGGCCTGTTCAACAGATTCATAGGTGAACTGGGATGGAAGATTCAGTGGGACAATAAGGGTCGACTTCTGAAGAAGGTGGAGCTTGGGACTGAACAGAAAGTGTCAGCCACCGAATTGCCAGCTTGGAGTAACTTCCGGTCCTTTTGGAAAAAGGAGTATCCCAAGCTGGTGATCCAACGACCAAGCGAAGATATCTGTGGTGACTGCTACCTTTTCGCCAACAAGCACAAGTACTCCACCAAATCATGCAATGGAGGAGGAGAGGAGGAAGATGACTCTGATGATGAGCTAATGTTTGAGAAGGCTCTAACAATGGTTGATCCCTACGCTCACATTCATGACAGGTTTGAGGCAATCAAAGCAATGGAAGATACAGTGTTGAAAGCATCTATGCATGTGGAGATGGCAAGGCAACAGCGAGCACTCTTCAACTTAAAGAAGGAGGAAGCTGTTCGCGACAAGGACAAAGACTGGGACAAGAGAGTGTATACGTATGTCTGCGACTATGCGCAGAATATTGCTGTTCCTCACTTTGGACAGGAACAACCCGGTGAGACGTATTATCTTTCTCCACTTTGGGCGTATGTCTTTGGTGTTGTCGACTGCAGCCTTCAGCATCTCTACGCCTTTACTTATTTGGAAGGTGAAGCAGCAAAGGAGGGAACAACGTCGCAGTTTATTGGGCAGTATGCTATCTATGGACGCTGTCACCTGCACCAACGGTCTTGAAAGAGAGACGTCACATGACAAGCCTGTGCCGGAGATCAACCTCTTCTTTGACAACTGTCCAGGGCAGAACAAGAATCGAATGGTGATCAGGCTTCTTTTCATCCTTGTCAACAGAGGCGTCTGCCTAAAGGCTCGAGCTACCTTTCTTATCAAAGGACACACCAAGAATGACTGTGACAGGATGTTCAACTTGATGAAAAGCGACTATCGCAAAGTAAGTTATGGCTTGTGTTCCCATCAAAACCTGAAACTCAATACGTCTCACCTACTTTCCCTTTGTACCAGTCGAACGTCTACACTCCAGATGAGTTGATCACTTGCATGAAAAGGGACGACGTCACTCCAGTCCGTATAAGGACGAAAGGAGAGTTTGTTGACTGGGACAAGTTCCTCAATGAATACTGGGCTCCAGTCAAAATGGTCTCAGAGAACCATTGCTTCGAGGTGGATGCTACAAGGAGCATGCACCATATGTTTGTCAAGCCATTCAATGGTGCTAGAGAAGAAGCTCAGCTGCTGACAAAGCTCAAATACCGTCCACAGAATTGGCGAAAGGCTGTCAAGACCGGTGACTGGAGTGTCTTCCTGCAGCCGGTTGTTATGGAGGGAGTGCCCGATGTATTGGAGCCACCAGGAATTCCAGACATCAAGTGGGTGGAGCTGTACGACAAGTGGAGGCCTCTGGTTCCTCCCAACAAAAGAACAATCAAATGGTTCAAAGAAGATCCTGGCAAAGAACGTCGTGGCAACGTTGTATCGAACACAAAGAAGGCAAAAGCAACCAGGGCTGCAAGGACGAAGACTAAGATTTCTAAGGCGGAAGCAGCTGCTAAAGCCAAAAAGGCGACAGCAGCAACAGCACGCAACTCTATCTAGTTAACTACTTGTTACTACTGTTGCAATATAATGTAAGTTAATGACAAACAAGGGACAATGACATGCTATTGTTACCATTTGTGCGCGATCTAACTTCATTTGCCTTTTTCTCGACTTGGGTATCCCGCGAAAAACCGACGACGGACAGAAAAATGACCTCCCTTTCTATTAGCCCAGTCTTACGTGTGATCGATACAGGAGCTGCTACCGGTACCCTCATGTACCGGATGTGGTAAACTCTAGCAGGACAGTTGTCACTTGTTCGTGAGTCTGTTCAGCACAATCAATGGGGTACCGGTATCTTCTCCATACGCATACATACTACATGATCTACAACATCAAAGTCTCGGGAAGCAAAGATTGTGGGGGAAAGCTGACCCACTGGGCCTGCTCAGCTGAAGTACCGAGACCTGCCATCAGAAAATGCTTCTTCAACCCAAATGCCATCATTGGTCCCAGCCACCCTCTCCCGCCTTTGAACCCTTTTCCTAGTCTTCTCGAAATCGGTGACGGATAGGTAGCCACTACCGGTACGTCTAATTCATACGGTACTAGTTAGCTACCGGTAGCATAGATGTCCAAAAGCACTCTTTTATTCTAAATAGCAGTTGTGTCTCTGCATAAGCTCTAGATGACTACGTACCACTGCCTTTTCCTTTCTTGTCATACAGTACAGTATCCATGGCATTTGGCAGCACTGTTGCTGCTTGGTTGCATGTTCCGTTATCGTAGATAGATAGTTCGACGCTATTCTATTATTGCTGTGTGGTGGCATTGTTGTTGTTGGCCTCTTTGAGCAACTCGGTCAAGATGACTTTGCTCGAATTCTTGCACGAATGTCCCGGAGTGCATTGTCCTTCCAAATTGTCTTGTGCAATCCCCCGCAAGTGATCCGTCAAGAACACCCGCAGTCTTGCAATGGACTCTTTGCTAATGAGGAATCGTCGTGTGACCGAGTTCCACATCATGGGTTGTTTGTCGTGTAATTGTTGCACAGTTTGCAATCCCAAGGCCGCTTCGGATTCTGGACTCAGATACGATGTATGCTTGGGCCCTAATACAAACTGCATCCCGGCACTGGTGGGCGTTCGACCGCGAATGGCACAGGGAATGAGCCGTTTCCAAATGACTAAACAATGTTGTCGCTTTTTGGCATTCTCGTCGTCATCACACGGGCGCATCCTCGTATGCAACAAGTGATGTTGTGCTTCGGGGATATCTTCAAATGCTACGTGGCGTCCATATCCTTTGGTCAATCCAGGTGTAATACAGCCTCGTGTCAATCCAGGCAAGAGACTTCCGTAATCGTGATCCGTGGTGAGAATCAAGTCATTGTTTTGATGTGCCCGTTCCGTGACATTGGTAATGGCGCCCGTACTGTCCAATTGCAGATTGTTAGATTCCCAGGGTGTTCTGGTGGATTGGTTGGTTGTAAAAGGACGGCAAGTGAGCGAGTGCAGGGTTAGATAGATGATGACGAGCAAGGATGACGATGATAAGTTTGGCAACCAAACATGCAGCGCTTCCTGCTGCAATCTACTTATGTGACTGACTCACCCGTACTGCCATTCGACGTGTGTTCCCATACACCATACCAACCAATTGCCATGTTTCTTGTCATTGCTCATGTACCGTACGGCTTCTTCTTGCATCATTTCAACAAAGTACGTGTGCAATCCATCGTCGGCATCGAGTCGGGTCTCCAAGACAATCCGCGATTGTGCCGCTTCTTGAAAATGTTGGTACAAGCCGAGATTGCGCGTCCACACTTGGGATGCCTCCAGCTCTTCGGGCCGTCGAAACCCGGCGGGACTTGTATTCGACTCCAAGACGACGACCCGAAAATGGGGCGTCAAAGCAGTAGCATTGTGAATCATCTGTAGGAGTCCTTGTCGAATGGGCTGTGCCAAATCTGGATCCGTCCGTAGAATCCACAAAAAGTTGAGTGACGTTTGTTGTCGCAACGTGGGAAGACAAATGGTCTGGAGCAATTCGAGACGCGCCAGTCCCAATTCGATCAAATGCGGTTGGCGTTGCATGAAACTAGGAAAACAGTGTGAGTATTGAGTCTACAAAACGAAGCACATGTATGAATGCTTCACTGGAACCACACACGACCTATACTCACCGAGTGTTGATAATGTGCACGACCGGTTCATCGTCGGGTATTCTCAAATGTTCCGGAACATTCAGCGACAGGTCATCGTCTCTCCTTTGTTGTTGTAATGCTTGTTGTGATGCTAGCTGTAGGTGTGCATGTTGTTGTTGTTGTTGTGATTGTGATACTTGCAACATGTTCCGACTCATGGTGACGCGTCGAAAGGGATTCCGCAAGAATGACGTCGTTCCCCCAAAACCGCCACTACTACTTTCCGTATGATCGACCGTCTTGGCAACCGTCCATGTGAACAATAGCGCCGACAAGGAGACACAGAGGACAAAGTAGAGACCAATGAGAATCTGGAGTCGTCGCTTGAGAGATCGTTTGCTTTGACTGTTGCTGCGAGGCGTCTGGAAATGGAGCCGTTTTCGAACCGGGCTCAGACCTTTCATCAGTGGTCGTCTTCGTTCATTTGTAGTTGCATTACTAGTGGTGCTGTTGTCCTCCATCATCATCATCTTGCCTTGTTCGTTTGCAATGATGCATGAATGAGTTGAGAAAGGAAGGATCTGCTGGTTCAAACGAAGGAACAAAAGGAGTGTCAGTAACGAAAATTTGGAGACCACGTGAGGTCATGCGCGCCCCTCTAAGTGACGTCACAGGCTTTCTATTTGTGATTTCGAAATTACGGTTACTTAGAGACTCTCGGGACAACGGCACGATCTTCTCACAATTTCACTTTTGGCCCGCTTGAGTTTCCTCCACTGTTTCTTTTCCTCTTCCATCTCACACGGTTATCTGCTACCCATCTACCCATCAACTTTTCTACTAGTAGCTATCTATTAATAGCTCCACCGGTAACGGTAGACTACCTCTCTTCCCTTGTCCACTTCATTCATTGACGATCATATATCGACTTGTTAGCTATTGAGTAGACAAATCCTCTTGCTATCTATTATTTGAGTTAAAAGAAAGAAGATGCACCACAACAAACGCCGTTTTTCACCATGGTCCGGTCTCTCGTCTCCGCGAGTGGCAGCAGATGCAGGCAATAGCAATACTCCTCGTGAATTGAAGAATACGTCCAAGATTGACGATCCAGAAGTCAAGTTTACGTTTAGTCATGAAAGCAGTGAAGGAGCTACATCGACATCGCATCTCTTTCGACGAGTCCAAAACAACAATCGACGGCGTTATCGCGCCATTCTCTCCTTGATCTCTACCATGACACTCATTGCCACGGCCATTGCCATTATCTCTGTGACCATCAAGAAAATGGCCACCAATAACAAGAATAATCAACACGACAACAACAACAATGTGGACACGACGAGCGATGGACTCTGGTTCCACAAACACACCTTGGCGCCAGGAGAAAGTCCTCCGATTTCCCTCCCAGAGGTAGTGGATTCTACGATTGATCCAGAAACATTCTCACCGACAGATTCACGAGGTCCCCTGTTCACACGACCTCCCATTTACAACACTATTGACTCACAGACGTCACCGGGCATGACACCCAAACCCGAAGATTATCAAACCAATCTAGGTCCCACGCCGCTTCCTACTCCCAAGGGTCCTCCGCCACTCTTCAACTTTCCGCCCATTACCATCTTTCGAACACCCTTTCCCACTGTCAAACCGTCTACGGCGCCTTCGTTTGTTCCTTCTCAACCCTATGTTTATGTGAATGTACTGGACAAACGACCTACCTTTAAAGATTTGACTTCATCGCCCCTTCCTCCCACTGCCAAACCAACCAATGTGCCTACCGGTGCCACTAGTCCACCCACTGCTGTCCCCACATCTACACCGACCATGGCACCCACGACAATTGCCCCTTCGCCATCACCCACAGCGGTTCCCTCGCCATCCCCTACAGACAGACCCACCAAGGGCATGCCCACTACTGGTGAATCGATTCTTCCACCCACCCAAAAACCAACCGAGAAACCCTTTTCGCCATTTCTCGAAATTGTCTTTCCCGGAGATGACGATGACATTGGACTCTTTCTCTATGAGGAGAAACCGTCCACACAGCCCACTTCCGAACCAACGCAAGAGCCCAGTACAGAGGAACCAACAACGGAACCAACACAAACGGAGGAGCCCACGCGACAACCGGTAGCCAGTCAACTCATGCCCACCTTTCGACCCACGCGCAATCGACCGCGACGAACTCCTCGTCCTACAGAAGCTCCTACGACAATGGAACCGACCGAAACACCCACCACGGAAGAACCGACCGAAATGCCATCCTTGTCACCAACTACCCTCCGACCCCGTCGCACGCGACGACCCAGTGCGGCACCCATCACCATGGTCCCCATCACCACTCCTCCTGTCACTAGTACATTGGCACCCATTTCCTTTGCCACCAACAAACCGACTCCTCGACCGACTAACACAAATGAACCAACCGCCAAACCCACCGGGACGCCCACGGATGGTCCCAGCCAGGCTCCAACGACCGAGGAACCGACCCATTCACCCACAACGGAGGAACCGACTGACACGCCCACCGCTGGTCCGACGACGAGACCTCCCACACCGTATCCGACTCAGTCGGGAGAACCCACAAAACGTCCTTCCACACCAGAACCAACCAGGCGTCCGACACCCAATCCAACTAACATTCCCACGCCAAACCCAACTAACATTCCCACCCCGTTGCCGACCACGGCAGAACCGACACCATCCCCTTCCCCCAAACCCATCACTCCCAATCCAACGTTCGAGTCCATTGCCACGGTCAGTGTTGAAATTCCACCACCGCCCATGACGACGGCTGGAATGACGTATCGGCCTGGAGATTTGACACAACGACAAGCTGGGCTCAAACTCAGTACTGGCCTTACCGCCCGCATCATTGCTCAAGCCGGACAACCCGTGTCCTACGATACTACTCACACGAACAGTAATCGACAACGATCCACGACACCCTTTCATTTCCGCCCCGATGCCGGAGCGACTTTTGCCGATACGCGACCGTTTAATCAAGGTGGTTGGATCTATCTGTCCAATAGTGAAATGCGACCGCAAGATCCTCCCGGTGGAAATGGTCGTGGCGGTGTCGGGGCCATTACGTTTGATTCGCGCGGTAATGTGTTGAATTACGAAATGCGACTCTCCAATACAACCTGGAACTGTGGAGGTGGACGCACGCCCTGGAATACCTGGTGAGTATAACAGTGTAACTTTGTTGTGTAATTGGAATGTGTTCATCACAACACCTGTCACGCAGCCTGCTCATTGTTCGCTTGTTTGTGTTCCTGCAGGGTGTCATGCGAAGAAGCACCCAAAGGAGTGATTTGGCAAGTCGATCCCATGGGATTTCGCGAACCACAACAATTGACCATGGGCAGCACTGGCGGACGATGGGAGAGTTTTACCTACGATATTCGGGACCGCAATGAGCCGCACTTTTTTGTGACGGAGGATCATGTGCGTGGTGCTCTGATTCGGTTCACTCCGAACCGTGACCAAATCGATTGGCAAAAGCCGTGGGACATGTTGCACGCCGATGGGACCACGGATTATTTGGAGTTGACTCCCAATGCCCAAGGCACCGGTGGAACCTACCAATGGATTCCTCAACGAGAACAAGGTCGTAACAATGCCGCACTGTACTATCCGGTAAGAACTGCAGCTTTTTCGTTGGTTGTTATCTTGCCTTTTGGGTTCCTTCCATCTAACTCTCTGCCTTCGCGTACATTTGGTACAATTGTTGGCACACATCAGAATTGCGAAGGCATTGATCGAAACGGGGAGTACATCTACTTTGTCTCCAAAAGGTTGATGCAACTGTTTGAGCTGAATCTCAGTGACATGACGTACACCAACATTACAACTGTTCGCGGAATGTTTGATGGCCGCCCGGACCAGATTGCTCGCATTTTGACAACCGGCGACGAAGTACAACACGACGATGACATTCTGTACTTTACAGAAGAGGGTAAGTCTGCCAACTTGCGGAACGACTATGAATGTTTGTCCATCATGGCATCTAAAACGAAAACGTTGTTGCTTTTGTTGTGGCCAGGTGGTGTAGATGCTGGAGTGCATGGTCGAAGCTCGGATGGCAGATTCTTCACCATTTTGGAGGGGCCAGACTACAAAGACGAGACTTCAGGCCTTGCTTTCAGCCCAGATGGGAAGCACATGTACATTGCCTACCAAGAGAATGGTATCCTACTAGATGTGACTAGAGAGGATGGGCTGCCGTTCCATGCAAGATCCCTGAATGTGAAGTACCATGCTACAGCTAGGTGATGCTGCCACAGTTTTTACACGTTGCTTGGAAGTTGACTTACACCCTTCCAGGTCCAATCACCAATCCTCTTCTTGAGCTGTTTGCCTCGCCTTGAAGAGTATGGCTTTTAAAAAGTATGATCCATACTGGTATAGACGTTAACATACATCAAAATGAATAATCCTGTCCATTTCAAAGCAATCCTAGCTACGGTAGCTAGTCTAGCTATACCTAAGAATTTTGTAGTTGAAGAGGCTTCGCCCAGCTACCCGTAGCTGGCTTACCGGTAGGACCTGGTTTGGGGACCTAGCAATGCATAAACACATTCATGGTCCCAGTACATACACACTAAGTCTTGGTGTGATCTCATCAAGTGAGCCATCAGCTCTAACCAAAACAAACATACATGTACATGATATCAGTACAGTAATGGAGTGCCCACCTCCCTAACAGAATACAGCACTGTTTGATTGGCTCCTGTCGACATCAGTGTGATCCATCCAGAGGAAACAAAGCCATCTCCATCTCCATGAGTAGTCTAACTGTCTGAAATGACAAGTTTGTAGGATGTGTTGGGAGCAACCGAGAGGACGAAAGAGTACCAGGTACTGGAAATAAAATTAATGTACTGTACTAGCTAGTAGTACAGCAGATTTATGCAGTGTTTCCCAGGTGCGGAAATGGGACTTAAATCTTTGGGTTTCAAACTAGAACTACTATAATAGTAGTTTCACGCACTGTTTCACGCACGTAAAACTACTAGTTTCACGCAGGTCTGCGTGAAACTATATTGAGTCGTGCCTGAAACAGTGGAATCTATCCACAGTATTCACTAGTAAATCTTGCGTACAACTATTAATAGTCGTTTTCTGCGAGAAACTAGAAACTATTACTAGTTTCACGCAGCCCTACGTGCAAGCCTTGCGTGAAACTACTACAGTATGACATAGCTACAGTACGGCAGTCTAGTACCGGTAGCCTAGTTTCGGACTTTTAAAATTACGCTGTAGCCTCCTCAAAAGCCCCTCAGCCAATCAAATCGCCCCTGCTGTTTTCTAACGCACACGAACCCAACCGGTGAAACCTTTATGTAGTGGTTTCCTTGCGGAAATTTTTGATGGGAATCTAGCTAGAAACCACGAAAACATTCAAAAACCACGAATTTCACGGGAATATTTCGCCATTTCCTACCGCAAGGATCCACTTTTATCGATCGACCGTCCACAATCCAGACCAGCATCCACCGGGTTGGGGTTGTCCAAATACTGTATCCTCCAAACTTCAAGCTCAAGGTGCCCAAAAGAGCATGGTTCCTTTGCCCCTTTGCCTCTTTTTGCTCACACTACTCGTATCCTTTCGTCTGGCCTCGTCGCATCACATCCATCAGCACCTTTGCTCGGAATCCAATCAGTATCTCCTCCATCGTTTCTTGACTCCCCTGTCTAACACAAAGCGTCTGTCGCTTCGCACGTTCTCTGACCAGTAGCTAGATCCAGTATTGAAAAGCACAGCAGAATGCACGAAAAACAAGGGGACGACCTCGTCGAAGGCCAAACAACGGATGATACCAGTAGGGCGAGCCAGTCAGATGAAATAGATCAAACGGTTCTTGATTGCCTTACCAAGAGAGCCCAACTGGAAGCCTTGCAACACCAAACGGAACAATCTATTGTTGATCACGCGAAAGAAGAATCTCGTGCTTCGACTGCGGCAGCCGCCAAAATTGCGGCAGGCCCTTCCAGCGTGGCAACAGTGGAGCTTTTGGAACACATGAGACCCATGAACAAAGAAAACCATGCCCTTTTGCAAATGGCAGCTGAGATCAATGAGGCAGATAAATTGGAAAAGTTTAGCAGCAGCAGACCCACTGATAGAGGCGATCACACTCTCATGCAAATGGCAACAGAAATACAGGAGGAAGCCAATTCGGAAAATACCGGTACCAGCAGCAGCAGATCTGCTGAAAGGGCAGGAATCTCTCAAGATACCAGACCAGGGCAGCTAGCATCTGGAAATGGAAGTGTCCCACAAACATTGCTGCATAGAACCCAAAGGATTTCACACCCATCTCTACCTGGAGCCTACATGGGTACACCAGGAGAAGCCTTGGAGCGTACCAGTACCCTTCAATACTCGCTCCTTGGTGCTCCCGCTGCCAACACGGATTATAACGATGAATTGCAGATTGATCAGAGTCAAGCAGATGCCTTGCCACATGTGTTACCCAATGGCATCAACAACAACAATGGTCAGCAGCTAGCAGTGGCAAATCTTGTGGCAGAGGATCCTGAGGATTTCGAGCGCCAAATGAGACCATCTGCAAGCCCTGTGGATCTACAAATGGTTGAGGCAAGACAGCAAAAGAAGCGGCGACAGACTCAGTTATTCATTTTGTTTCTAGTCATGCTGTGCATAGCAGCAGCCACTATTGTTGGCGCAGTGGCTGGAACAAGAAAAGAAAAGGATCAAGGCGCTACGAGCAGCAGTCAAACAGCTACACCAACAGCCTTTGGTTCCATGCAACCTTCTGCAGTTCCTTCCTCAGCACCGTCTGGAGTTCTTGATTTTATGCTTGAACACCTGCCTGATCACACGTTGGAGAGCTTGCAGACTTTTGGGACACCCCAGCGGCAAGCATGGGACTGGCTGTTGAATCACCAAAACATTACCCAGTTGCCAGAATGGAGGAAGACACAACTCTTTGCTCTGGCTACCTACTACTACTCTTTTGAGGGAGAAAATTGGTTTCAACCAATCAAGGAAAGGTGGATGGATGACTCTTTGGATGAGTGCCTATGGTACTCCAGTGGGTTTTCCTATTTTAACAATGGTGTGTATACGGCATATTCTTCTTCATCTGCAACTCTTCCATGCAACCATCTTGGAGAATATACAAGTCTTTGGGTTGAAGCTCTCCGCCTTTCTGGTCTTGCACCAGTTGTTCCACCAGAAATTACTCTGTTGACATCCTTGTCTCAGATTGGGCTGGGATGGAATCTGATTTCTTCATCCATTGATATTATGCTGCCAAGTGAAATCTACAAAATGACAGCTTTAGCATCTTTGAATTTTGCTGGCAATCAATTCAATGGAGGAATCCCTACAGAGCTTGGACTTTTGACTACATTGAAGTTGCTAAGGTTGGACAAAACTGAACACCTGTCAGACCCAATCCCTTCAGAGCTTGGATTTTTGACTGCACTGACAGCTCTATTGCTGGATGACAATCAGCTGACAGGACAAGTCCCATCAGAGCTAGGACAGCTGACTGATTTGAATCGTATGACGCTGGATTTTAACCAACTCACAGGCCAACTTCCCACAGAGCTTGGGCTGTTAACTTCTCTGACTTCACTATTCTTGGCCCACAATGAATTGAAGGGTCAAATTGCTACAGAGCTAGCTCGCGCTAGTTCTCTAAATGAGCTGTTGTTACAGGCAAATCATTTGACAGGGCAAGTTTCTACCGAATTTGGCATGATGGCCAATCTGACTGTCTTTGCTGCCGGTAAAAATCTCTTAACAGGTCCCATTCCTTCAGAGCTTGGGTTGTTGTCATTAACAGGCTTTTGGTTGGGAGAGAATGAAATGTCTGGCCAAGTTCCAACAGAAATTTGGTCAATATCCGGCTGGGAGATTCTTTACCTACAGTCCAATTCCTTTGCAGGCTCCCTTTCCAGTGAGATTGGTCTGTGGTCCTCATTGGTCGAGCTGGACCTTTCTGAGAATCATTTTACAGGGAAAATCCCCAATGAAGTTGGCTCGGTGTCATCCTTGCAGAAGCTCTATCTATACAACAACAGCTTTACAGGAATGCTTCCCCTGGAACTAAATGAATCAATGGGGCTGAGACTGGATGGAAATCAGTTTTCAGGAACTGTCCCAGAGCACCTCTGTTCTGCCCTGTGGTGTGACTGTGCAGCAAATGTGACCTTGGTTTCCACCTGTGCTGACCTAAATGAGCCTTCTATTTTTCCAGGAAGGTTCCCACCAATTGGCACTGATGGAACTAATGAGATGATAGTACTCAACATAGAATCCGATGCATTCCCAACTGACACAAAGTGGGTCTGGCAGAAGGAAACAAATGTTTCTGGGGTATGGGAAACTCTGCAAGAGTCCGCTGGAGCAATTCAGACTCCATTCTTCTTGTACTCTTTCAGGCTTTCTATTGCGGAAGACGCAACCTACAGACTAGTGGTTTCAGATGGCTATGGAGACGGCTTTTCCCCCTCTGGATGGATAACCCTGACAGCATCCAATCAAACAGAGTTATATGCATTTACAGCTGTGGAGACTCACTTTACAGAAGTGTCCGTTGTCCTTTTGGTTGGAGCTGGTGGTTCAGTTGAGGATATCAATCCTAAGGTGTACTGCGACCCCGCTTATGATTTGTGTTGAGTTTGGCCTGGTTTCATCCAACAATCTCTTAAGTTAAAACTGGTCCCATTCCTTCGGAGCTTGGATTGCCGCCTTTGAATTGTTTTGCGTTAGGCGGCTGGGGCAGAAACCCTGAACAGTTTTGCCTCTTCTTTGGGTGAGGAAGTGGCAAATATAAGCGGCCAGCCAACAGCTACTCTATAAATCAGAAGAAACAAAGGAACAGTTGGATAGTGTTGGTCTTCCTTGGTGAGGCGTGTAAGAATGCCGCTGAGTTGATCAATGACTGGGGTACTAGCTACTGGCCAAGCTGAGTTTGATCTCATTTGAACCTTCACAAAGGATAAATATTAAAAGTCAGCGGGAGCTGCGATACCTCGGCAGAAAGACAGATAGAAGAAGGAGGATTATGTTCGGATTGCACCCATCTTTCAAGCTAGCCCTGGCGACAACACCCGACTACGTCGTGTGTTACCGCCCGGTATCATTCATTCCCTCATTGCAACCTTCTTTTTATTAAGCTAGCCCTGGCGACAACACCCGACTACGTCGTGTGTTGCCGCCCGCTACTCTATAATTTACCAGCTGCCATTCCCTTATTGTAACTCTAACCTTTACAGCTCCTGCTGGCTTATTGTGCTGTTGTGATGATTGCACTAACCTTAAATATTAATGATTTATTCCTACCCCTAACTTGTATTGAACCATCAGTGTTCAGTTTTGTTGGCTTATGACTATCTCTATCCTTATACTTTGGCTTCACCGGAATAGGAAATAGGAAATAGGAAATAGCATTAAAGGGGTTGAGAACTCAGGCAGTTTACCTGCCGAGGTAACCTGTTTCTTCTAGTTTACAAGGAACGGGCGCTAACGTTACTACTACGAGCAAGCGCATCACCGTTGTCGTCATGGTTTTCCAAATGATCGTGTTGGCAAAGGAGGAGGACCCCTCTGGTCTTTATTTGGCGGCAGATCTGGTTGATCTGCTTTACCATGAATGGGCGGTCCTGGCATCCTTGGTGGGGGAGATCCAATCTTTCGCGGAGGTGCATTCCTTGCCCCGTAAGAACCTTTTGGTGGAGGGATCTGTCTTGGTGGAGCCCGCTTCGGAGGCGGGCCTTTCTTCGCAGATTGGCGTGTTGGCCGTGATGAACCTTTTGGAGTTTCCCTTTTTGTTGAAGGTGGTGTAAATGCCCCGTGAATCCCTGTGGTTTTAGCAAAGATCTTTCGGACTCCGCGGAGGGGTACATTTCGCTTTTTCGGCTTTGCGCTGTCCGCTTTCGGTGCTGTTGGTGGCTTTCGATTATTGGGTAAGCGCACGGGCGGGTTTGAAGTCGATGTAGTTTTGTTCTGGTCGGGCAACGTGCTGTTCGAATTCACCTCACTTGGGGATTCTTCCGCCTCAGAAGCGTTTACGGGATCAATTGATTGCCGTTCAGGCTCCACGGGTTTGGGCTCCACTGATTCCAGCTCCACAGGTTCAGCTTCCTTAGGCAGCGGCTGAGGCTGAGGCTTTTGAGCCAACTCTTTGAGGTTTGCCAGTTCGGCTTCTTGTGTTTTCACCTTTTCGTTGCGTTCCTCAAGCTCCTCATGGATTCTCTTGAACTCAGCAGCCCTGCTCGACAGCTCCTCCTCGTTCTTCTTTAGCTCAGATGCCTTGATTGCAAGCTGCTCCTTCATTGCGGCTATCTCCTCCGTTTTGCTGTCTAGCTTGGCTTGAAGCTCCTCACTGAAACTCTTCATTGTCACAACTTGTTTCGCCAAGTCTTCCTTACCAGCCTGCACCTCTTGCATCCCCTTTTCGACTTCTGTGGTTACCTGCTTTGTCGAATTCAGTTCGTTCTCCAACTCTACAGCCTTGGATCTCCATTCTTCAATGTCATTGTCCCGTTGCTTCATGTTGACTTCTAGAGATGCCAGAGCTTCCCTAGACCTCTGAGCCCCTTCCAGTAGCGCGTCTCGTTCCTTTTCCAACTCAGCCTTATCTCCCCTCAACTTGGTTTGCTCTTGTACGAGCTCTTCAAACAACGCCTTGAGATCGCTCTGCTCTACTTCAAATTCTTCAATCTTGGCTCGCAGATTGTCACGTTCCTCTTCCACCTGCAACGCGTGTTCTTCCACTTGCTTGCATTTCTGCTCTCTCAATTCGACATCCCTTCGAATGATGGCAAACGATGCCAACCGCTGCTCCAAAGTGTCTACGTATTGCCCAATCGCCGTTAGATTGGATTCGGAAGCATTGGCGGCATTCTGTGCCTCTGCAATGCTGAGTGAAAGTGTATTGATTTCTCCTTGATGCATCTCCACAAGGGATTCAATCTCTCCCGCCAATCGCACATTTTCTAAAAAAGGCAAAGCAATGCAACGTCAGTGTCAGCCATACATGCATGCTGCAGAACGATGAATGAATCCACTCTTCTTGTTGGAATAATAATACGAATAGACAAAATACACGCACCTTGTCTCGCCGTTTCCAAATCCGCCAGTAACTTTTCGGTTCGTGGCGCTTCTTCCTTCATTTCCTTTTGCAATTGCTTGAGTGCCGCTTTCAATACGACCTTGTCTTCTTCAAAGACGGCCACTCGATCATTGAGTTCATCAATGATCATATCTCGTGACTTGACCATTTCTGCAATGGCCGAATTGTTGCTCTGCAGCGATGCCATGGCACTTTCCAACTCATCAATGTTGTCTCGTTCAATTTGCAAGGCTCGCAAGAGTGTCGATTTGGCCAGTTCCTATATCGCACAAGTGTAGTAGATCAGGATTAGCTAAGTGGTTCAGCCATTCAGTACAGCTCAACAACTAATAACGAACAAGAGTCACAGAAACTCTCCTGCTGAAACAAAAGGAAGTAGTAATCCCACCAACCAGCGATACAATACAAAACACTTACCTGTGGTGATTGATACTCTTCATCGTCTGACTCGGAGGAGGATTCCGCTGAGGACCACAGAAAACTAAAGACCCATCCCAACAGGGATTGTTTCTTCTTCTTCTTCTTCTTGGACAACCCCAAATCCATTTGATCCCGAATCCGGGCATTTTCAATGGAAATGGCCAAGTTTTCCGCTTTGGCTCTAGCATCGGCTAAATTCTTTTTGAGTTCTTTGATTTTGGTTTGACTGGTGGCATGTTCATCGGCAAAACTGGCACAGCGGGATTGCCAATCGGCCAATTCTTGATGCACCACCGCCATTTGACGTCCCATGGCGGTACAATTCGCTTGATATTCCAAAACGCGATTGGATTCGTGGGCAATCTGCGCTTCCGCTTCCATGATGCGTTCCGTCAAGACATCCATTTGTCGACTGTGAATTTGATCTTGTTGTTGGACGTGTTGATTGGTTTCGGTCAAATTGTGAATTTGCGCTAATAGTTCTTGTTCTCGGGCACGGCTTTCTTCCAATTGTTGTTCTAGGGATAATGGTGGTGGCCAGTGGTGATATGGATCTTGTTGTTGTTGTTCTTGTTGTTGTTGTTGTTCATCATAGTAGTACTGTTGTGGCGGAACATGATATAGGTGTTGAGGAGGCATGTACTGTTGCTGTTGCTGCTGTTGATTGTCAAGGGACCATGACTCGGTGATTGTTGGTTCTTGGGGATTACTGATGGATGTAGTTTCTTCTTCTTGTGGATCTTTCTCCACTATTACTTCTGTGATTTCTTCTTTTACTACTGCCATGCTGTCCAATAATTTGGGCGGTGGTGGCGGGGGAATCGAAGGGGGCGGAGGCGGTGGTGGCGGCGTGATGATCTGAATGGGAGGAGTTTCCTCTGCAGTGTCTCGATCTTTCGGGTTGCCAAAAATAGCAGCGACTGGAAACCGACTCCCACCAAAGATTCCTCGAGACGACTCGGCCATTGGCAACCACAGCATCATTGTCAGGACCACAAGAGTCCTGACATAATGTCTGGAACTCTTGGGCAATATCATCATGTTGATTGACTTTTGATTCTTGCAAGGCACACGTAAGATAGACTGGTAAGTCACCAGGAGCTCAGGACGCCGCTTGTGGGATGCTCTAGCTAGTCCGACCAGAGTGCTATTTTGGGTTGGAGACAAGCGAGCTGATGTGATGGCAATAACGATGGAGGCGTTTCCTGTCCTGTTGTTGTTGGAGGTTCAATGACGCCACCACGCACTTCGACCGAAGGTTCCACGTGTCTTTTGGATCTTTACTTTGGGGGGGTCTGTGTCCCCCCTTCCAAGAGTAGAGCTACCGAAGCGGCGAGGAGCCGGCTACCGGTAGACAGTGGTGGAATTCAGGGCTAGCTTCGGTGGGATCAGGGGCTCCTCCTGGTGCATGGTCCCCATGCAACCATGGAAAGAGAGGGATGGCATTGAGGAGCCTGTGCATTGAGCAGACGAAACTCTGTCAGGGCTGGGGGTTGCAGAAGAGAGACCAGCCAACCTTCGACATAGTCCCAACACTTGCAGTGGCAAATGCAGAGGGGACCAGCCTTGATAATGGCAAAGCGTGTATGTGATGGCTGCAGGCTCTTTGTAAGTTGAAGACTCTAGCCTGAGGGGGTTTAGAGTAGGGAAGTTCTGATCTACTTGAATGGCCCATTTGCTGCACTGCTGTGATTTCCGTTTTGGATCTTGCTCCTCTTGAAGTCCAGCAAGGAAGCAAGTAAGTCACTCCATGGCTGGACTCTGCTTGGGGTGGGCCTTTTCTCCTTTACTACACGTGTATGGTCATCTCACTCCTTCGGAATTCATTCTGTTGCTATTGCCAGCAATTCGTTGATGTTCCTGCTGTCCTTCGTTGCAAAAGCTCCTATCCAGCACGGTCAACCCTCCAAGAAAGAAATAGGTGCGACCTCAATGGGTCTTCAATTCATTTATATGCCAAGAGTACTCACATATATCTTAACATTCTTAGATATCTACTAGCTACTTGTAAACAAAGCCGAGAAATGCAACCCATGCACCATGCTGTCTCGACTCTGTGCTCCCTCTGCTGTACTACACTTATTCAGTCTCCACCAGGTTGTCCAAACTGGATGATGTCCTCGTCAACGTTTCCTTCGAATGCTCTGCACGTGCTCGAATCCAGTGGAAGACTGGCACGGCACATTCATCGAGATCTTGGTGCTGTGCGTTGTGTTCCATCTTTGGAGGTTGGAGTAGTTCAACCAGTTGACTGAGGTTGGCATTGACCCATGCGAGCTCTTCGTTTAGCAATGCTTCTTGCTGTGCCTGATTGGCTGCCTCAAACAGAATCTTTGTGGTCGCTTGATCGTAATGGTCCGATACGCTTTGGAAGCAGCCCCACTCTGACACAGCCTGAGGAAACGGACGCAGCAGTGTCACGAGGATATGAAGAGGGAGCTCGCTCTCGACGGCGTACCAAAGCGGCAGTTCATCACAAAAGCCACCTCTCTGGTGAAGACCTTTTGGGTATCGTGTCACAAGATATTGGATAATGTCGACAGAAATGTTCTCATTCCAGCATGCATAATGCAATGGCAGACAACCCGCTTCGTCTGCTACCGCTAATGCTTCAGGATAGGCTTCAATGAGGAGCTTCATTTTCTCCAGAGACGGTCTTGTTTCGTCCAACTTGAGAAGAGAGTGGATTGGCAGCTCCCCACCACTGCTACTGGATTCACGCATGACAGCTTTTGGATCCGTCTCCCAGATGTACTTTAGTACCTCCGTAGATGCTCCTTTCTGACAAGCGTAATGCAGCAAGAGCTCTCCTTCGATCCTTACATTCCCACAATGACGATCTTGCTTGGTTTGCTTTAGAGAAATCACAAAGTTCTCTCCTGCCAAGGCAGCTTCAGGAACCAGCCGATGCTTATCTAAAGAGTCAGGCTCCAAAATTAGATGGATAGTATCGCCTGGTACAGGGACAAGACGCTTCAAGGCGTCGACCGTGATGGTGGCAAAGTTTGCTGTTTCCAAGCCTTTGATATCCACGTCCTTGCTCTCCATTGTTGCTTCGTTTTCTTTCTCGATTTGATAAGATTGCTTCTTCTACTTTGTGTTTCCTTCCCCCGAAAACGTCGTTCATCCTCTGTAATCCTTCGCACCGTTCCTAATGCTCGATTTGGCAAGACAATGGCCATGTTCGGTGTTGTTTTGTTCGTTACGCAACGATTTTGTTTCTGATTTGCTTGACGTGCGCGTAGCGTGGGCGTCAAGTCATCAGGAACGTTCACATCTCGACGCTTTTGTCTGGCTACATAGCTACTAGCCGGTGCGACGACAAACACGGGGAAGAACCACAGCTACTGGTAGTTCCTACCTTCCAGCACCAATAAGGTGCACTCCTGTAGCTACGCTGCATCGGCAGCCTAGTAGATTGAATAGATGAATGCCCGCGTTGCCCTCCCGTCACCCTCCACATTTTGGCTGCTGCTTCATGTACGCAGTATGCATGTTTCTTCGCTCTGATGAGACGTGTTCTCTGGAAAACCTAGACAACAATGTCCCCATCTTATATGATGCAACTTGCTGCTGTGTTTTATTTTCTGTACTGTCTGTCCTCGCTTGGAGCCCCGAACAAGCACAAATCTTGCCAAATGGCAGCCCTCCAGCCATTCAACAAGGTACCGGTACCGTACCAGAGACCAGAGGCTTAGGAAACTTTCGCACCGGTATCCATGGGTAACTGAGCCAAACCGGATTCGATTCATTCGTAATAAGCAACTGCTATGGGTGCGCCCTACTAGACCCTACACAGATGGAATCATGGCGATGATCCTAATTTTAAGGGTTGCTCAGCCCCATGAAGCAAAGTTAATCAAGCACCGTACAGGAAGCCGCAGCTAGTACACAAGTAGGGCTTGCCAATCCAAACTCGCTCCAGATCGTCCAGTTGGGACATGCCATCTCGCAAACCACCATTTCCCACCCCTTCGGAAAAGTACTCGCGAATCAGTTCCACATCGTCAATGGCACTACTATACAGATTGCGGGTGGCCGACAATCGCAGTCGCGTCCAAACCCACCCAATACATTGCAAATCTTGAGCGCTTTCGTCTTCTTCTTCAAGTCTCCTTCTTCTACTATTGGCACTTGGGGGTATTTGTTTTGCACCGTTAGAATGAATGAATCCCTTTTAAAAAGCTGAGGTCACGAACATCTTGGGAGCTATGGCGTATCTCTCGTTGCATGCAGCAGACTCCAAGACAAACCCCGAGCCGTTTTATCCCAGGGGTGTCCCTGGAACGCTACTTGGACAGACAGTAGTCAGCAGCATCACCATCGCAACACAGAGTGCAACAAGAGCACTCTACCATGGGCTTGCCTGTGCCACCCCTTGGCATACAGTCAGCTACCACATCAAAGTATGCCTTTGTGGGGTCAGCCAGAGTGCAGACAGATGATGGAATGGAACCAGAAAGGTCATTCCCATTCACAATAAACCGATGTAGCTTTGTCAGAGCAGAAAGCTGTGCTGGGATGGTGCCATGGAACTTGTTTCTGGAAATGTCAAAGGTATGTAGCTGTGTCAAAAGCTGCAGTCCAGTGCTGATTGTCCCAGTCAAACCACAGTTAGAGACCCGAAGTCCCGCTAAGTTGTTACATTCTATAAAGAGTTCCTCTGGTAGGGAGCCATCCATATTGGTCCAACTGATATCGAGGACTCCGATATTGCCTTTCAGAAGCCCTATTTCCGATGGGATGGTTCCGTGTAAAGGATTCCATCCCAGAAAAATGTCGAAGACATAACTTCCATGCCATGCTCCAATTTCAGTGGGAAGAGTTCCTGTAAGCTACAAGCAAGGGGGTTAGATACAAGAACCAATTATGAGTTGTACACTTGGCCCATGAACGATCCCTTCTGCTGTGTTCCTGGTACGGTAAGAGGCTACATACCAAATTATGCTGGAACTCAACACGGAGCTGGGTTCCTTTGCCAACCTGAAAGACCTCCGTGGGAATGGAACCAGACAAGCTGTTTGAACCAAATCCAAGCCACGTCCCATCAAAGAGTCCGACTTCTGTGGGCACTGTCCCGGTTAGAGAATTGTTGAAAAAATATATGGTGGAGAGGTTGGTCCCAAACAATTCCACAGGAATAGTTCCAGACAGTTGGTTGTGGGAGAGATAGAGAGAAGAAAGGGAAACCAAGCTGCCATATATGCTTGGAACCGTTCCTGTTAGTTGGTTCCCATCCATTTCTATTGATTCCAGTGCTGGAAGACTTGCAAGTTCTGTGGGCAGAGGGCCGTTCAATCCATTGTCCACTGATAATGAAAGCAAGCTATGGATAAGTACAGGAATCTTGCAAATGTGGTTCTTGTTGTGGTCACACAAAAAATACTCACTGAGCAGCAACTGAGTAACGTTTTTCTCTCTGTCGCACCAAATTCCTGCCCATTGACATTCATGGACACCTTCAAGCCACCGACTTTCCAATGATTCCAAACCCTGCGTTTGAATCCAGCATGTATCATCGTTTCCAGTTGTAGATGGCCCACAATCAAGCCAATCGCTCTCCTGGGATGTTTGAAAGTAAGTCAATACCACAATGAACCTCTGTAGAAGATTGTTGGCATCTGGGTTTAGCTGCAGAGGATCCTCAAAAACGATCCAATCAAGAGCCTCGAACTTTGGCTGGGTGGGTTCTGGCTCCTCATTTTTGGGGAAATAGTCGGGTCCAAATTCCTCTTCAATTCTGTTTTGAATGTCCTCCAAAACAAAATATCGAAAGGAAGTGAGAGCCTGAGTCTCCACATCACCATCTTTGTTGCTGCAGAGACCAGCACCGCAGATGGAACCATCAATTACTCCAACGATGAGAATGCTACCAACGAGCACAAGGATCATGAGAGTCATTGAGGTTGATCTGTTTTCCCTGTGAAAATGGCCCGGTATAGCAATCTGTGCAGGTTCTTCATTTTCGTCCACCGGGTTTGCCACGGCCAATCCACTATTGGTGTTTGTGGGAGTGGTGGTTTGGATATCTGTCGTACTTTGATTCATTGCGTTCCCGGGGGCCACTGCATATGCTCCTGGATGCATGGTAGCCGTATATGACTGATTTTGCCCACAAGTCATTCGTTGCGGAATAGCAAGCTCATCCTTCAGACTAGCTTCTGCTGACAGAGTTTCGCTCGTAACTTGTTGATGAATGTTTATTTGATCTTGCACTGGCTTCAAAATAATAGAATCATCATCTTCCTTTTTTTCCTCTCCCGTGGAGATGTCCCCTGTTGTGCTGGGATGATGCTGCGAGGACTGGAACCCAATTTCCTCCCTCTTTGCTCGTTCATCTACTCTCTGTTGGGCTTCCGATTCAAACATTTCCAGCTTTCTGAGCTCCGCCTCTCTATTGTCCCCCCGGCTTCTGGCAGCCACAATATCCATCAACTCTTCCTCATCATCCGTTTGGGCTGCAGAAGGTTCCATCTTGCCCAGTGCCCACAACCTTACCGTATTGAGGGTTGTGGGTTGGTGCAGGCTCCCTTCTCAGTTCTTCCCGTTTTACTGCCTCCTGTGGCATCCTGAGAGTTTTGCTGCAGCGTGGCATGATGCACCCAATGACAACCCTTCAAGGGGGACCTACGCGCAAGAGTACGGAATATGGTACTAGTAGAGTGCTAGTAGTAGTACCATATTCCGCACTCTTGCGTCGCATTTTCGTTGCGTCAAGTGTGCTGACGTCAGTTCCTATTGAGCATCCAAGAACTGCTTCGGGAGACCCACTGGGTTGTAAGTTGTGGTCCTCAGGTCGGTTTGTTGATAAAAGAAGAGCTGAAGAAGTTACATGTGGGGGTACCGGTATGCATACCAATACCAGTAGCATCAGCCGAAACGGAGCATTCAAGCCTACGATTTATAAAAAGCAAAGATGATGATGGGATCCACTATGTTGCAGGTGAGCCTTTGGCTTAACAGCATCATTGTGTTTCCGCTTTCGTACTTCCTGTTGGTGGCCAAACCCAAGCGAATGGACATGGTCATGGGTCCAGATACGCAAGCACGAAGAATTCTTGCATCCATCTACCTTTCCATTGGCATTGTAAGCGCCAAGGCAACGACTCTGCCGACGGAACAGGCTGTCCAACTAGCTGTGCCTTTGTTTGGAATGCAGATTGTCTACAAAAGCATAACGGCGTTTTCTTGTCTCAAGTGGAATCAACCCATCTATGCAAATCAATTTGTCACAGCAGTACACTTGTGTACACTGTATTGCTTGAAACAGGATGGATTGACGGAGGTTTCACTGCTGTAGATTCGGCCTTGAGGATCGAGAGGGCATGCCTTTTTTGAGTCAACCAACCAAATGTGACGGTATCAAGACAGTGTATAATGTATAGATCGCACAGAATAAACATAGAGTCAATACTCGAGTACTTTTCAAATGGCATTACTGGATTGGAGTTCCAAGGAAAAATCTTCTTCGCTGGGAAGGGACGGACCGTGGCTTTCATAGATCACCACATCTGATTCCATACAACATATAATGAAGAGGGGACTTGGGCGGGAATGCATGAATCCAGAGGATGAATGCAAGGTGCAAGGGCACAGGTCGGGCAGCCAGGAGAGCAGACCAACAGCGCAACAGGAAGAGATGGGGCAAGGAAGGGCACCTGGAGAATGGGCAAAAGACAATGACTAGTGGTAGAGATCAAGAGTGCCGCGGTCGTCCCAATGCCAGGAGCGCATCATAGTAGCAGGAACACGAGAACCACGGATGCATATCATAGCTGCTCGAGCAAGAGCAATGCTCAATTGGGCAGAAACAAAGGAGCGAACACCACAGAGCAGGGCTTCTTGGACCACTTCTGAGCCAAAAGCTGGGAGAGTCGTTTGAGAACGCAATACTTTTAGGAGCAACGGGCTGTCCGCAGAAAAACAAAGGGGGTGAAGTGCTGGCTGATGTTGCGCAGTGCAGGGGGCAGGTACTATGTCTTCCATTATCCTTCTTGGGGGGCTTCTCAGCAGTGATGCCGCGATCACGACAACCAGGAGACTCAACATCCAAGAGGGAGACGCCAAAGATCAATCCGTACCTCGATGCCAGAAGCTGCGAACCAGGAGAACATCTGGGTCGTGAGTGACAGGATCAGAGGGAGTAGGAGCATGGGAAGAATTAGTAGGGTCAATTGGAGCCGAGGCTGTGTGACCAAGAGTGATCCGAGGTTCGTCACCGGCAGCAGAGGGAAGGAAAGCAAGTGCGGATAAATCAGCAAGGTTGTGCACAATTTGATCATGGTACTGAAGAAGAAGTCCATCGTGGGAGCAGGATAAGGCATGGTGGAGACCAACATTTTTTCTTGCCGCCATCGCAGTAGAGTTGGAGATCTGGGGGGGGGGGTCAGTCCATAGCGGAGCTGGAGGGAGTCTCGAACTCCAGGGACGAGAGGACAGTGTCGTTCTCAGGCATGGGAGTGACGGAAAGCCGCGCCCCAGTAGATCAAGCCCGTTGGAGATCCTCTGGGCAAACTGCAGGGGCGGCAGTTGTGATTGAGGCAAGGGCCTGCTGAGCCGCTTTCATGTGGGATGCTTGGGTGGGAAGACGTGTGACATTCGTATGAGCATTGTGATCGGACAGACTAAAGGGGCTGGCTGGAGGAGGAGGACCCACTAAGAGCTGTCGAGATTTGGATCCCCATGCAGCTGTAAACGGGCTCTAGCTAGTATAGTACGGAAGTTTTCTATGGAAGTGGCAGGGGGGCAGGAAGAGTCAATGAAGAGGCCGAATTTGGGACCAGGCTCTGTGGGATCAGGGGCGACAACCTGAAGGCCAACCACGGGGGCCAAAGGGCCCTATTTTGGGGGATCCACAGAGACATGCTGTACCAGTTTATAAAATAATTAATTAAATATTATTGTAGTCACCTTATTTCTTATTTGTAGTCGTTCTCTCTGGGATGCCGATGGTGCACTTGCACTCTTCCGCTAATTTTGCTCCCTTCTCCTTCCTGGTTTCCATCATGCACCCCCCTTCCCTGTCCCCCCCTTTTTTGCCCTGCTCCCGTCCTGATTGCTCTCCCCGTACGCCCACCACCACAGCCACCCACCACCGCAGCCCCTGCCCTGCCTAGCTAGCTTCGCCCCCCTCGCTCCTTAACGTCTCTATTTAGTATTTGTTTTTCCGCTTTCTCGTCCCTGTGTTGCTGTAGTGACAGGATACTTGATGGACAAAATCTTTGCGGTTTTCCAAAACCCACTTGTTTGCTTGATGATATACCGGTACTAGCTAGCTAGTACCTTAGATGAGGTGCGGTTGCTTCAGTTTTGGTTGTCTAGCTAGATGCACCTTCGTTAAAGCTGATTCCACAGTCGAATCCCAACCTGCACAACGGCAAGAAGAACCTCGTACCACTTCACTCACTCCATCATCATCATCATCAAAGCTAGCTCCATCCACAATAATAAGAATGAGCAACGCCAAACCGACGTCCTTCTGGACTCTTATCAAGAGTCTGACGCGGGTATCCGTCAATGACGATATCGATGAGGAAATATGGCGCCATTTGCCAGACATTAACAACAGAATCCAAGACAGTGCCAAGCGAGCGTTTGGTGTTGGATACGAGTGGATTTTGGAACCCAACAAGGTGGACATTGAGTGGCCTCCGGCAGCCGTTCAAACGCGCTATAATGGAAAGCACTTTTGGTACGGAACCGATCATTTGTTCCAGGGCGTGCCTTGGGACGAATTGGAATCCATCATGGCACAGGCATTAGAGGGGGTATCCGTGGAAGAAGACAATTACCTGGAGAGAGTGACCAGAGTCCAGGAAAGTCTCGTGAAGCACAACGAGCGTGGGATTCCTTCCCGGCAAGAAATGGAAGGAACCTACGATATCATTTATTATGCAGGCGAATACAAGTACTTCCTGAGGCATCATCGGACCAGTCGTGGAACTCTTACATTGACATCCATTCGTCAAGAGAACGGCAACGATTGCCTTCAGGGGACCGTTGCAATGGACCCCCAAGTGAGCAACGATATGGATATTATTCCCCACGGAGGCAATTTCACATTTGTAGAGACGGATCGATACCAACGGGTGGTCACTCCCAAAGAACGCAACAACGATAGACGACGATCCAGTTCGGTGAACGACAACACCACGGTAGCCGGCGTGATTCAAATCCAGGTCACCCAAGCCCCCGAGGGAACCCTGGACATGCGATATGGGCGTGTGACACGCAACGTCTTTCGAGGAGAATTCAAACAGCTCCAGCAACGGGTGGCATTGGGGCTCCTTCGGGATTGCCCCCTGCCGTGGGGAGAGGACGACGAATCTCCTCGTCGAGTTACCGTGGAACGTAATGTGGAAGAATGCTTGGAGGAAAACCAGAAGAAGAAGGAAACGTGTCTGCTTTGGATGAGGCGACATTTGGAGCCATCATTGCCCCCAGAAGTCGTGCGTCGCGTGCAGGAATTTCTCTCCCCTCCTCCATTTCTGGTATTGGAAGAGAACGATTGGGTTTTGGGAATGGTCTGGTCTGGAGGACTTCCCAGTTACTCTGCCAATTCGTGTCTGGTAGTTCGAAAGCGGCGTTGAGTTAATGAACAATGATGATCTTCCAGTGGAGTCACAACGACAACACACGAGGAGGGCTCTACTTGAGTTCAGGGAGCAAATAGATAACATGACTTTGCCAAGCAGTCCACCATACTTACTTCGAGCAAGGCCAAAGACTGCGTGGAAGATACATGCATGTATGATGACAAGCATCATCTCGATGCGGCCAACCCAGGACCTGGTTGAGGAATCACCGATTCGTGTGGATGGCAGAATTGATTCGATTCAACCGCTTTCAAGGGGTACCCTCCCAAGATGCGCGCCCTTGACGTTGCAAACAAGTGTCATAGTTGCGCAAGTGTTCAGCCGCCCATGTGCCCTCGGCATAATGGCAGGCAGTAGTACAATCTACATAGCAGGTCGCTGGCAAGAGCCCAAACCGCCGTTCGTTGCAACCCCAGGGCAAGGTTCTTGCCTGCAACGCCACTCTAGCTGTTCACTGCGAGAAGACTGAACTCTTCGCCAAACACTGTCCCTGTCGCACCTGGGGAGCTAGGTTGGTTGGACAAAGTCGTGACCAATCAATTGCATCTACACGTGGGACTTGGGTTAATTTTCTTTGCCCTGACCTCTGTTAGCTTCTTATTCAGTGTGGCCGAGAGTGCCGAGTGGCTCGTTGGAAGAAGAGGCACCAAAATGAAGGATGTGTGGGGCAGTTGTGGTATCATTTTGATTATTATGTTCTCGAAGCCTCGCAATGGCTGCGAAAGATGCGCATCTGGCAGCTGTCAACACGCACCGCTGCCTGGATCCATTGAAAATTATTTACTACAGACCATACCGGTACATCCTGCACCTCCAGGTAAAAATGCTTCCAGGGTCATTTTCCCCTTTTCTTCTTTTTGTGGGCTTGATTTAGAGAATAATGACACGGCAGATGCAGTCAGGGCAGGCTCTCTATTTGACCTTACCTGCGTGGGAAAAGGTGTGGACTGGCTCAAGACTCCACTGGATCTTGAAGAAGACAAGGGCTTCTTTCGAAGACAGTGTCTTCTTTCGAAGACAGAATCTTCAACAGAAGACACTGTCTTCGACGAGGCATCTTCGAAGTCTAGCTGGACACTGAAGTCGAAGATGCTGTCTTCCAAAGAACACGAATGGAATGCAGACAATTGTGTTCGGAGAAATCGCTAAAATTAGAAAAGCTCTTCCGTGATTGAACTGTGCTCGGTGTTATGGTTCCCCATTACCGAAGCATGTATGTGTAGATGGCTGGCTGGGGTAGCTTTGAGGTGGTGGAATCGAATCTAGCTACTAGCTGAACAACTCCAACAGGAAAAATAGCCACTGCCACACCAAAGAGGCAGGTGCTTCGTGGGAAGCCCAAGTCACACTATCAGAACCACTGTAATAGGTTGGTAGAGGAGAGGTGC